GGGGTGAGCGGGGGACGGGGTGGGGGCGGGCCACCCGCCGTGTGCTACGCAGCTCTTACTGCTCCAGACGGTTTGAGATGTGCCACTTCCCTGCTCACTTCCATGAGGAGGCGCCTTGGTGTCAGTGACACGCGCAGTTGCTGTGGGCCAGGGCCACGTGTGCCCCTCACTGACGTGGTGACGTCTCGCTTCTGCAGAAGACCCAGGCTGCTCCCCTTCTCGGAGTCCACCCTGACTTCTGGGAGTCCGTCTGGCGTTTCCGTCTGCTGCACACGCCCCGCGCCCCTGGGGTGGCTGGCCTCAGCCTTGATAGCTGCGCGTCACAGCGAGCCTCCCCCAGTGTAGCCTTGCCCCTGGTCCTGGAACCCTGCACCCACATGGCGTCGCCCATGTCCTGGGAGGCCATTGGTGAAGTGGCAGCGGGCCTCCTGGAGGATGTCCAGGTGGGCCGAGGGGCGATGGGCTGAGGCCTGCAGTGCTGCCTGCTGCCCGGACCCTCGGCTCTGGTGTGAAGAGATCGTGCCACCGGGTCAGAGCTGCGCCGAGTACCAGGGACGAACAGGCAGCAGGTCGCACCCAGCCAGGCCGCTGAGGCGTGTTCCCCGCAGGTTGCCTGCTGCTGTCTGTCCCGGTCTGGTCTCCCACACAAGTCTGCAGGGGTGAACCCCATGGGGAGTGCTCTGGTCTGCAGTGGCCCCACTCACCCTCACACAGATGTCAGGCCAGCATTCTCTCAGGGTGGGGCTGGTGCCGGGCCGTGCTGCTCTGATGGCCGCTCTCCACAGGGCAGGACGCCCGTGCGACAGGTCTGCCAGCTGCTGAGTGTGGGTGCACAGCTCCCTGAGCCGGACCTGGGTCGGGCCGCTCGGACACAAAGCCGCAGCAGCATTGCGGTCCTTGGTGTCCACGTCAGCTGGACCTGTGCCCAGCAGCCTTGCAGACACATGGGGTTTCTCTGGTTAAGGAACTGGCTCACCCTGTGGAGGGGTGGGGAGGGTCTGATGTGTAGACTCCCTCTTTTGGGGCAGGATCCTCCTTCAGGGGAGCCCGGTCACTCCCCTAAGCTGTGAGTTCTGGGTCTGGAGACCCACTCTGGTTGGAACTGGCGGGTGCGCCGTCCCTGCACTGGCTCACGCCCGCCTTCTGCTCCTCCATTTTGATTTGGCTTTACCCTGTGGTCCCCGGCCTTGCCGTGGGTGGGCCTGATCTGTCAATTCCCTCTGGACCCTGCGCTCAGGGATCCAGCTGCTGTTTGAGCTTGCCCACTGGGGTGGTTCCATCCAGGCAGCCCCTGCTGGTGGCCTGCTGTGCGGCTTTGCCTGCCTTACCGAGGAGCCTGTGTTCGCAGCCTCCCTCCCACCGTGGCCTGCAGAGGAGCTACCAGGAGCTGACCCCCCATCACCCTGGTGATGCAGCACTGTCCACGCCTAAGCGTCCCTGGTGCTGTCATCTCTGGGAAGCTAGCCGAGGCAGGTGGGACCTGGGCCTACATAAGCGACCCTTCCCAGCATACTCTGCTGTTCGACATTTTGACCCCATGTGTGATATCTGCCGAGGCCTTGCTGGCACTCTGACCCATATAACGTGGGCTGAGACTTTCTCCAGGCTTCGGAACCCCCAGCTCCAGGAGCCTTGCCAGGGCACTGAACCCTGGGCTGCAGGGTTACACGTCCTCAGTAACCCCTTCCGGATGAGCTCCCAGGTGCAGCTCTCTCGCCCCTGCCCTGCTCCTACTCTGCAGCACCTTTGCTGAAGAGCTTGCTTGTCCCTCAGCAGGGCCACCACTTCCCTAGGGAGGCTGTGGAAACCCAGGTTATGGGTCAGGTGGCCAGGAGGGGAGGGAGGAAGATCTTGAGGGGCAGGTGTCTGCTGATCGGCCACTAACCAGTGAGGTTCCTACAGGTGTTCGGGCCAGAGAAGGAAACTCCTGTGGCAGGGAAGACTGGCCTAGAGGTTTGGGGAGTCTTGGAGTTTTGTGTCCTGGACACTTTGGTGTCCCTATCCAGGCATCGAGGTCCCCAGAGGCGTGTGAGACCCACAGAACCTCTCCAGCTGGTCTTCCCATCAAGCCCCAGGCCGACCCCAGCACGGGAGCCACCCCGCACTGTGCCTGGAGTCGCTAAGTGCCACCTACGTGTCAGTGTGTCCTTCAGAGCAGCTGTGGCACCTCGCCGAGTCCTGCCAGCTCCACAGCCCTGGCCGCTGCTGCCCCTGCTCCTGAGGGCCTGGCCCTGTGCAGCGACCTGGCTTCAGTTTCCACCCGTACCCGTAGGGGAGTTAGCATCAGCTCACCTGCCGCTTGCTCGCAGAGAGGGGGAGAGAGTTTGCCTCCAAGGAGCCGCCCCAGTGCCAGCTGACTTAGGGCCAGAACTTCGCAGTGATGTGTTGGGGACCGTTGCCGGGAACACGCGGTGAGCATTTGGGTGAGGAAGGGAGCCCGTACCTGGAGGTTCTGGGGCTCATTTCACGCCCATCCCCTCGGGTTCTCTGGGGGCAGTGTGCTCCCAGATTCAGAGTTGGCTCAGGCATGGGCCAGCGTGAACGAGGGCATTTTGAGAAGTCCATGGAACAATGGAGTCAAAATTGTGAGTTCACTGTAGTGCATCAATTCTGAAATCCATGCAGTGTTCGTACCACACATTGCCCAGCTTTCCCCGTAGGCAGGCCCTGGCAGCCTGTGGGGCCAGAGTAGGATCGAATCGGGGTGAGGCTCCTGCGTGAGTCTTAGCTCAGTGTGAAACCGCGGCATTTAGACAGTGCGTCCAACCAG